TGTATATAAAAGGTGTGTGTGTGTGTGTGTGTGTGTGTGGAGAGAGAGAGAGAGGGGTGGGGGGAGAGTCTAAACTTTTAAGCTTAGGATTTCTTAGTGAGAGTGGGAAGAAGGGAATCATCAGTTTATTTTTCTATTTTAAGTGTTTTTTTTTAATCTTCCTTTGGTAGACCCCAGGTTGACTGGGTAGTAGAGTATGTTTGTGAAAGGAAATATAACTTGGAAATTTCCAGTTGGTTTATTTCTCCAGATTTTGTTTCATTAAGTAAATTGTACGAGTTGTAGTTAGTATATTGGTTTCCCTCACTGCAATAGCAATAATAGGCTGTATCCAAGGAAATACTGAATTTAATCAGGATAAACTAAATATAATGATGTATGCTTAGTCCACTGAGTTTGTCCAACCCATGGACTTTTGCTTAAATATGTTTAAGCAGCATTTCATTTCTGTGGATTTGTTTGATTAACATCGGCAAACTTCTAGGTGTGCTTTCTATACTCATTTCCCAGACCCCTTTGCACCAGGCTGTCAGTCAGGTACACTAGTGTGGGACTCCAACGCATCATTTTTGTATGTGGGGTCACACAGCAGACTGCTGGAGCTGGCTGCCCAGGTTCTAGAAGCACAGGCTAGAGTTTGTTGCTGCCCATCCAGTGGTTCTCTAGGCCATTTAATACCCTACAATGTAGTGAGTCGCTATTCATTAGTGAGTCATGACAGCACAGTGGGTCATAACTAGCATTTAAAGAAACTGAATAGAAAAACAGAATGACACTTGTCAGGTGGGTAAATACTATGAAGATTGAATTACATATTTATGTGTGTACTGAGTCGTGGTATAAATTATTTCTGCTAAACTAGCCAGAGTAGGTTCTGTTCTCAACAGTAACAGTTGAGTAAGAACAAATAGTATGACTACTAAGAGATATGGTCTTATACTGTTAAATTAGTTACTCCTTATTGAAGTCTACTATATTAAGCACTTACAAACTCTTATAGCATACCTGTGGGAGAGTAGATAAAACACTCTTTATAGATGACAAAAACAGGCTCAGAGGGCCCTGGCCAGTGTGGCTCAGTTATTTGGAGCATCATCCTGTGCACCAAAAGGTTATGGGTTCAGTTTCCGTTCAGGGCACGTACCTAGGTTATGGGTTTGATCCCTAGCTGGTGAATGTATAGGAAGCAACAGATTGATGTCTCTCCTCTGAGCTTCCTCTCTCTAATATCTTTTTTTTTTAAAAAAAGTCCCAGAGGTATTTAGTAACTTGCTTAACATTTCAGCCAATATGACCACTAATAAAATTTGGGCCCTATGTTTCAAAGCCCAAATTCTTTATAGTACTTTAATCTTTCAGGTGGTAGAATATAGAATGGAAGAGGTAGTTAATGAAAGCCCTTATCTGTTTCATACCTGGAATATTTTTCCATCTAGGCACCATACTTAAAGGAAGATGCTCAGATCTATAGCTACTCTGAAAGAGACAACCATATCCATGGGGGATAGATGAAAGACTTGGCTATTTGGAGAAGTGTGTGTGCTGTGAATGGGGGCAGGGGAAATAGTTGGTGAACTTATAGAGGTGCTGGGAGAGTGGTGTGTTCAGACAGGGCATGGAGGCTCCATCCCCATCCTACATACCTTGCCCTGTGTTTCTCTTTCATCTGGGTTTTCATCTGTGTCCTTTATCATACCTTTTAGTAAACAGCATAAGTGTTTCCTCAGGTTGTGTGAGCCGCTCTAGAAAATTAAACCCAAGGAGGGTGGGTCTTTGGAACCTCTAATCCAGCGGCCGCCAACCTTTCAGACCTCACGGGCCACCAATAGTCAGTTGGCGACCGCTGCGTAGTCAGTTGGTCAGAAGCAGAGGTGCTAACCTGGGCTTGTGACCAGCTTCTGAAGTGTGTGTGGGGGTGGGTGAGGGGAGGAGACATTCTTGTGGGACTGAGCACTTGGCCTGTGGCCTCTGACACTGTCTTCATGTCGACAGTGTCAGAACTGAATTAAATTGTAGGACACCCAGCTGGTGTCATAAAGAACTGGTGTAGAGCAGTGGTTCTCAACCTTCCTAATGCTGCGACTCTTTAATACAGTTCTTCATGTCGTGGTGACCCCCAATTTCATTGTTACAAATTGAACATAA